CCCCATTGCCCTCCATAAAAGTTATGCTGATTCACACACCCCTCTACTGGATGAAAATGCCTTTTCCTTCACACCTTTGCCAATGCAGACTGCTGGGTGCCAAAAAAAAAAAAAAAAAAAGGCGGGGGGCGTTTCAGTATAGTCCTAACACGAATTTCACTTATGCCTTTAGTTAGGGTCTCTCCCTGTGTCCAGCATCTGAGTCACTTGATCTTTCCCGGGAAAGGTCCTTGACTTTAGCTCATCTTTCCAACACATTGATCTTTTTCTGACTGGTTTGCAGGCGCTCTTTAGAAAATGAGCCCTGAACCCTTTGTGATAGGAGTTGCGAACATTTTTTCCCAGTCTGCTCTTGTATTTTTCTTATCTTATTTTGCCAAGAAGAAGGGGTGTATAATTACGTAATTGCATTTCTCAATCTTGTCTTTTATGACTTTTGGGGACTGTGAGTTGCTAAATGGGCCTCCTCCACTCCAAGATTATAAATATCATTGCTTGTGTTTTTCTCTGGTTTTGTGGTTTTATTTTTTACATTTAAATCTTCCAATCATCTGGAATTTATTTTCTTATAGGAGTGAGGTCCAGGCTGTCCCGACGCCATTTACTGAATGATCCAACCCTTGCCCCAGAGCTGTGGACAGCCTGCATGTCCCAGCGCCTATCGTGAAACCCATCTCATCCACCCACAGCGATCCGTCTGCGCGCGGCGGTGCTTCCCACTGCAGCCCGTGCCCAGAGCCCGACTGCCGCGCCTTTGGAAACACCACCTGAACCCCGCGCTGACCACCCCGGCTGCACTTCCACGGGCCTCGCCTTTTCTCATCTTTCCAATAACCCAGGAGGCGGTGAGAGGTGATCAGAGGGATGAGGGGATGAGCGCAGAGAGGGGTCTCCTGGCAAGAGACCAGGCAAGGCCAGCTTTAGTGGCCAGCGGTCTGGAGTCCTGGCCCAGCACCTGTCCCCTGAAGGCCGTCTTTCCTTCAGGGGTGCAAGCCACCCGGCCTCCATTGCCCACGGGGAATAGTCTCATCCCGCAGAGCCAGGCAGCCCGGACTGGGTCCCCCCTGAACCCCAACCCTGTATGTCCTTCTCTGTAACCTCCCTCTGTCACTCCCTCCTCCTGCTGCTCCCAGTCCCGCCTGGGGAGGCACAGGCGTCGGTCTGCAGCAAGGGCAACTCAGTTAAACTTCCTGCTAACTCCCCATTTGCCCTCCAGCCCCGTGCGCTCCTGGGCGCCGACGCCCACGTCCATGGCTGGCCGGCCACTATCACCCGTACGCCCCTCAGGCAGGTAACACTCAACAGGCTCGATACCATGATAACTCATTCTTTCCTTCCCAAACACTGGCACCTAATTCTGTTTCCCCATTTTGCTTAAGTGCCGTCTCAACGACCAAGCCAGAAACATGGGAGACACGCAGAGTGGGGCCTGGAGCTCACTGCCGTGTGGCATTCTGTGCCTTCGACCTAGCCCGGCGGATGCCTGGACTTGTCCGGAGAGGTGAGATTTGGCTACAGAGAGATCAGAAGCAGCAGCTTCTGTCCAGAGAGGCCAGACTGTAGTCTTGAGGGTCCCAAGAGCCTTTAATCCTTCGTACTGGTCAAAGGCACACCATGAGGTGGGAGGAAGAAGGACAATACCACAGCCTACACTTTTGGGTCCTGGGAATGGTGGGAAGAGAGAGGAAGAGCAAGAGAACGAAGCCACCAGAATGAATGGTCCCACAGTGTGTCTGGGGCACCAGCTGAAGGAGAGGAGTGAGAGGGCAGGAGGGGCCCTGGCCTGGCATCCCTGTGGAGGGGCTCTGCGAGGGCTCGGCCACGTGGACGGAGGCCCTACACGTCTGCGTCCCAGGACAGGCCTGGGTTCCTGCCTGGCGCCGAGGAAAAGGAAACCCCCTACCCACAGCCAAAGCGGGGACACTTGGGGGAGCCCAGATGCATTTTAGGCAGAATCTATGCACTCTCTGACTGTCCCCTTAGCAGTGTGACTAAAGCCTTGACCCATGACATGTTTGTGCCCCTCTTCCCTCGCTCCCACACAGAATCAGTCACCCACTAAATCCTGTCCCTGTCTTTTTTTTGTTTTGAGACAGGGTCTCACTCTGTCACCCCAGCTAGAGTGCAGTGGCATCATCATAGCTCACTGCAACTTTTGTAGAAACAGGGTCTCGCTCTTGCTCAGGTTGGTCTCGAACTCCTGAGCTCAAGCGATCCTCCCGCCTCAGCCTCCCAGAGCGCTAGGATCACAGGCTCACAGGCGTGAGCCACGGTGCCAGCCCTGTACTACTTTTTTTTTTTTTTTTTAAGCAAGAGTAGGGGATTTAATCCGGTCCCTGAAAGCTTAACAAATAAAGTAAAATTCTTAATTATAGTATACTTTGTTTTGTTTTGTTTACATGGATCGCTTTTATAATACTGCCCATCAATTCATGAGTGGATTAACAAAATGTGGCATATGTATACCACGGAGTACTACTCAGCCACAAAGAACGATGACTTAATGCCTTTTGCCTGTGGTCCCCGACCCCCGGTATGCAGACTGTTAAGGACCAGGCTGCAGAGCCCCACCCTCTCCCCCTCAAAAACTTGTCTTCCATGAAACTTAGGAACCAGGCCCACAGCAAGAGCGAGTGGCGAGTGAGTGAAGCTTCATCTGTATGTACAGCCGCTCCCCACTGCTCGCATCACTGCCTGAGCTCCGCCCCCAAGTCCTCACCCCCACCCCCTGTCCGTGGAAAACCTGTCTTCCATGAATACTGGTCCCTGGTGCCACAAAGGTTGGGGACCGCTGCCTTTTGCAACAATTTGGATGGAGCTGGAGACCATCATCCTAAGTGAAGTATGTAAAGAGTGGAAAAACAAACACCCTGTACTTCTTTAATTCGTATCTCTCACACTGAGCCGAGCCTCCCCTTCTCTGCAGCACCGCCTGAGTTGAGACCGTCTCTGCCTTTTGCTCCAACTGCACTGTCCAGCCCATCCCCCATCCTAAAACACCCTCCCAAATGCAAAGTGGCTTCACACAGCTTCCTTGATCAGAAAGCATCCGCTGGATAAGCGGCAAACTGAGCACTGCGGCCGAGGCCCTGATCGAGCTCCTGGGCTTGCCTCCAGCCTGGGCTGACACCCTCACCGCAGGCAAACACCCGGCTTCCTTCCCCTGCCATAAGCTGTCCCTTCCCTCAGGACTGCGCTTGTCCTGGACTCTCTGTGGTAGCTGGCTGGCTCCTCAGGGTGCCCCTGCTAGCCTGTGGGCCCTTCCCTCCGGGGCAGACACGGGCACGGCGCCTGCTGAGGACACCCCCAACACTCCCAGCCTTCCCTGCCCGCAGGCTGGCCCTTTCTTCTGAAGGGACCTCTCTACCGGGCCAGGCTGAGAACCTTGCCCATTCGCCACAGTGCATTTCGAATGCCATCTCCACCCTCTAAAGTGTCATCTCCCGCCCCAGCTTTAAGCCGCCACACACTGGAAACTTTTCACATCGCGTTCTGCTTGGTATTACAGTTTCCTTCCCAAATGCCCCCACACTCCTGGCCCGGAAGCTACGCAGCCTCAGAGGGTGTGCTCCCCGCTCCGTGCCCCGCAGGCTCTGGCCACACGGCGCCCGAGAACGTCGGTGCTGCCCAGTCCAGACTGCCACGGCCTCGGGGCAAGATGCGGCAGGAATGAGCAAAAGATCACTTGGCGAGTGCCTTGTGCAAGCCATTTAGCCCTGGCAAAGAGCAGTGTTCGAGACATCTGTGCGTATGAAATAATGGAAGCGTAAACAAGGGGAGCAGCATTCCTTCAGGGGGGGTCATGGAGGTGACCTCTGTGGTCGCCACAGCCCCCAACTCCCAACTCAGGCTCTCCACCCACCCGCCCCGCCCCACTCGCCCCGCCCCTTCACTCTGCTATCCACCCACCCAGCACCGCCCCGCCCACCTCCCCGCATCGCCCCGCCCTCCCGCGGCCCGCGCGCGCCCCGCTCACCTGTAGGCCCAGGGCGACACGCTACGCAGGTTGGTGGGCGGCCGGAAGCGGCGGTCGGCGGGCCTGCCCCCTGCCGGGCAGCTTGCGTTGCGCGCCTGCTCGCGCGGCCCCAGCTGCAGTGTGTGGTGGAAGGCGCCGAGCACGCCGGCCGCCAGCCGCCCGTACAGCTGCTCCAGGAGCTCCTCGGGCCGGTCCGCACAGCCCCGCGGCCGCGCCGGGCGCCTGCCCGCCCTCAGGGCGGCCCGGCCGGGCGGCAGCGCCAACAGGAAGCCGGCCACCAGCATCCAGACCTGCGGGACAGGCCGCGCTCAGCGCCCGCGCGCCGGAGGACGCCGCCCGCGCCCCCGCCCCGCGCCCCGCCCGCGGCGTCTGGAGCCGGTGGGCGCCTCCCATCGCCTCGCAGCCCGTGAGGCCGGCCCGGAGGATGGGTGCCGTGCGGACGGGCCCCCGAGCGCCCTCCCCGCCGGCCCGCCGCCCGCGGGGGACCCGGGGCCCAGCTCGGCGCCGGCCCGCTCGACCCCGACCCCCGCCGCCGCCACCGCCCCGAGCCGGGGGGCGTGCTTGGGGCGGGTGCGGGGCGCGCGTGCACGTGTGCGTGTGCATGCCGGGCTGCTGCGCGGCTGGCTGCGAGTGCCTGTGACGCCGCCGCGCCGCTTACCCCCGGGCGCGCCATGCCCGCGCCGCGCCCGCCGGCCTGCGAGGGAGCCCGCGGAGCCCGCCGCGCCAGCGACGCTCGGACCCGCCGCCTCGCAGACTCACGCCCCCACGCCTCGTCATCCGCCCGCCCCCGCGGCGCCCGGCCCCCCAGCCCGCGCGGGGTCCCGGGACCTGCCTTAGCGCAAGAAGCCCCTGCGGCGTTCCTCCGCGGACCGCGGGGTGCCGCCCGGGTCCGCAGACACCGAGCGGCCCCGCTGCACCCTTTGCCTCCGGGAATTAAAACATCTTGTCACTTATGACGTGTACTCACCAGAGTCCCCAGCATCTCCCCCGAAACGCCTTCAGACTTGTTTTGAGGTGGCGTTGTGCGGCGGTTCCTTAGCGGAATACATACAAGGGCCACACAAACCGGGGGCTCCGAGCAGCGTGGACCCGGAGCGGGCGGCTGCCGTCTGTGTGCGTCGCGGAGGAGGAGGAGGAGGGGGAGAAGTCTGGCTCGGCGTGGACTGGTGCGGTCCTGACTGGCTGAAGAAGGAGGTGGTAACTGGCCCCGGCGGCTCCAGAACGGAGTTGGGGGAGGCAGATTTTGGCTCAGGAGAAAGGTTTCTCGAATAGCTAAGCCAATCCAAGAATAGAGTGGGCCACCTGGAAAAAGAATGAGCTCGAAACCTAGAAGGATTCTCCGCCTATGGCTACTTCCTCTTTTGAGATTCCATAATTCAAAGAAATATATTGAAGATTTAAAAAAATCTCTATTTTTAATAAGGTGAGAGGAGGCTGTTTCTCCTTTCTCCCGAACGCCGGTAAAATGATCCTGTGCCTCCATCAGACGACGTTGAAAGTACTAAGTACTCCCCCAGCTGACACTTACGGCTGGAAGTGGGCATCACTTGGTCTATTATTACAATGTTGGAGAACTCCTACTCCGTGATAATAAATTCTAAATGCAAGCAGCCATAGAAAATGAGCCTGATATTCTGTGAATAAATTAAAGGAAATATACTTAAATGAAGGACTATATTGTACTTCATAACATTAGAAAACTTGCTCATTTGTTCATTCTACAAATAAACGCTTAATGCTTTCTAGATGGCAGGCTAATGAATATCATTTTAAAGCAGTCATGCTTTGAAAATAATCCCAGCTGAAATCTTTTTGAACGTGTACAAAGTATGTAATTTATGATCCCCTAAATGGTTTGCAGCTTTGGTATTTGAATTGTAAACCGTAATGTAACCATTGGTTACATTACAGTTACGCTGTGTAGAAACACACTTTTATAGGCCTTGAATGTTCTGTAACTAAGGAGCTTAGTAATTTATTTACTGCTAAAAATCCCACTGAAATCTCTAGTTTAAGTAATTTACAGCTCTTAGCGAGTGAACACTTGTTTTGAGTTATAAAACACTGTTTTTCTGACTAATAGGTAAATTGTTCATGTTCTTTGTTTCCTTTCCAGTAAAATGGGAATAAAGGTCTACTAGTTCTCAAACAGTGCTTATTTTTTATTTGAAAAAAAGAAAAGTGTGGGAAGCCTTTAGGAGAGAGAGATTATCATTACAAGAGTTTCATAGACATACTCGGTATGTCTCATTTTCTCATTTCGGCATCCATGGATATGGAAGGAGCCACAGTGCCAGACTTAATTCTGTATATTACTTAACAAAATATTCCATTGTTGGGTAACATGGCAATTTCTCTCTTCTCTGATTATCTTGGAAGTGGGAAAGAAAATATTTACTTTCCAATAATTTTCATTTTGTGAAAGATCACAAATTACTGAAAATGCTCACCTATTTGGTAGAACATAAAATTCATCTTTGTGAGACTAAACAGTTCAGAAAAAGTCTTATTAACAGGGGCAAATGTTTTAGTTCTCTATAATGAATTCCCTTCAAATTTCAACCATTTTTGAAGATGCAAAATAAACATATTAATAGTTAAGTCTAAATTTAAGACACACAAGTGAGAAAAAGGCAACAGAATATTCAAAACCAAGTTCATACGTTCCCTTAGAAACTATTGTATCTGCAGTGTTCTCTCCTGAAGATGTTTCCATCACTGTAGTCACACAAGCTTGATTTTCAGTCCTCTCTTTTCCCTTCCTGTCATCCCCTGGTTTACTCAGCCACCCTGAACCAACACGGCTGCAACACTCCTTAGCACGGACCAAGCTGTTGGGGAAAATCTTTTAAAACATTCTTAGGCACCATAACTCTAAAAGCCAATGTGTGGTTGGCTACTTCCATGCTTATCTTCTTGGGTTACTGATGTGCGTATATATTCAAACCTCTTGTTCTCATTTAAAGGACTGTGCTCAGATATTCCCATCACTCCATTTATGCATTGATGATTTTAGCACCTGAATCTATCATTCCTGGCAACTTTAACTTGCACACAGTTGCTTTAACACCCTGATTTCTAAATGACTATGTTAGTTCCAGTTGTCTTTTTTTCTGTCTCAACTATCAAATCATACAGTCATCTCCAAGTTATTGTCATCACCAATAACTGTACCACATCCAAACATCTGATTTCAAATATCCTGTTCCCTGACACAATCACCTTCTATCCTTACCGACTCCTACAATTCTCTGATCTCATTCAGACCTCTAACCCTGCCACTTTTCACTAATCATTCCACTCAAGTCCTTACTTCCTTTTTGGTCTAGTTTAGATTTCCCAGTTCTTTCATGGCCTTGACATTTTTGGAAAGTACCCGACAGGTATTTTGTAGAACATTCCTCAATGTAGAATACTTCCTCATGATTAGATTCAGATTATTTTTTGGCAGGAATATTAACTAGGTAATCTTGTGCCCTCTCAGTGTATCAAGAATTTGTGGGGAAAAAACTCTGAGGCCATGTTAATATACTATTCTCATCAAAGTTTCCTTCATTTGCTTTAGCATCCATTAATGATTCTTGCTTAAATTAATTACTATTGTGGTGGTTGCAAAATGGTGATTTTCTAACTCTATTCTATATTTTATTAGTTGTACTATTAGCTTTTAAAATATACATTCTTTTTTCCCCACTGGAGATGGGGAAAAAACTAGAGACTTCAATATGTATCCTTGACTTATTGGAGTCTAGCACTGTCTGAATGAACCTTACAACAGTTTAACACCCAATCCCAATCTCTGGGCTAATATTGTCACATATTTTATTTCTATGTATGTTAAGAACCCCACAAGGCATTATTATTGTTTTAAATAGTCAATATTCTTTTATATATTCTCATACCTTTCTGGTGCTTTTCATTCTTTCTGTCATTTCATGCTTTCTTCCAGAATCGTTTTCCTTCAGCCTGTAGAACTTGTAGTATTTTTTGTAGAGCTTGTCTTCTAGTAATTTTCTCAAATTTTGTCTGAAAAGTCTTTAACCTGAAAGTTTATAGGATATAGTCACTGGAATAGAATTCTAGGATGGTAGTTTTTTTTACTTTTATTTTGATTTTCAGCACCTCAGGGATATAATTCTATTGTCTTCTGGTTCCATAGTTTCTATAGAAAAGTTACCCATAAGTCTCATTAATGTGCTTCTGAAACTAATGTGTCCTTTTTATTCTGATTAAAGAATTTCTTTGTCTTTCATTTTCAATAGTTTGAGCATAATATATCCAGAGTATAGTTTTCTTTATATCTATTCCCCTTGGTGTCTCACTGAGCTTCCTAAATTTGTGGGTTGATGTCTTTCATCAATTTGGGAAAATTCTAGACACTATCTCTTCAAATGTTACTTCTACCCTGTTCTCTCTTTCCTCTCCTTCTGGGATTCCTATTATAATATTTACTCTCGACTATGTCCCAAATGTCTTTTATCATCTGCTTTGTTTTTCCATACTTATTTCTCTCCGTGCTTCAGTTTGGATATTTTCTGTTGACCTATTCACTAGTCCTGACTGCTGCCGTGTCCAGTACATTGTTCAATCCATGCAAATAAGTTAATTTCAGATATGGTATCTTTCAGTTCTAGGTTATTCATTTTATTCTTTTCATAGATTCCAATATTCTATTGAAATTCTCCATCTTTTTATCCATTTTGTCTATCTTTTCTCTATTTTATTTAATACACTAATCATAGTTAAACTCCATTGTTTAACTTTGTTTGTTAAATCCATTATCTGGATTATCTAGGGGTCTGCTTCTGTTTATGTTTTCTCCTGATTATTTGTCATATTTTCTTGCATTCTAGTTATTTTTTATTGTATGCCAAGCATCATATATACAAGAACCATAGATACTACAAATGATAGTTATCAGAAAAAGATCCTCATTCCTCTGCTAGGCAGAGAGAATTGGGGATTGACTACCTCAATTCAATCAGGGATTGGGCCAGGTTGCAATTTTGTACAATCAGTCCACCACTTGCTTCATGTGTTCTTGCAGGATTTTGACTAAGAGCCTGGAAGATCTGTCTCCTCAGCTGAGGCAAATGGAGAGTCAAGTCAGCCCCTGGAGGTTTTGAATTTAGACCATTATCCTCCTGCCCCACACAGATTCATAAAATAGCAAATGTCTTGAGGATAGACTAATTGTGTGTTTGTGAAAAGTCGTTCCCGCTAGCAGGACTTTGTCCCCTAAGGACTATGAGAGGTTTAACTAAGCCTTTAAAAGGCTCCATCT